TTTTTTATTTTCTTGATCCTTAATCCCCATTCGTATATGTGGAAGCCTGTGATCGTACATCGGCTGGACCCTTGTATGGTGTAGAATGACAAGTAACCGACGAAGATGTATGGTTCCGATGTCTTCGTGCATAACCAGTGCATGGAGGGGTTTGTGTTTGCATTTTGCGTTTATCAAGGTCTTAGATTTTGTGGACGAACAGCATTATCCTTTCGTTGGGGCTAACGCTTTCCACCACCTGTCTGGAAGAGACAGCTATTTGCACTTCCTCAATGGGAATGCAGACTTTGGCTTTGAACGGGGCACTCCGTTTAGGATGGAGAATTTTCCCAAGACTGTGAGCGGCGTTGGAGAGATTGATTATGTTACCGCTAACTGTCAGCTGTTGATTACTCCCCTAAACGAGAGTAAGGAAGTCTATCAGAATCCAGATGCGAGAGTCCCTTGGTCAGATGTTTTGGTGGTGGGATGTTACCAAACGGAAGAGTCCGTCTGCCCCATATGTTTGGAGGCGCCAATTTTGCCGCGTATGGGTCCATGCGGACACGTCTACTGCTACCTTTGTGTCAGTTGTTACATTTCTTTTGAAAATGACACTTCTTCCAAACAATGTGCCGTTTGTGGGGTTCAATTGCGAACCAATGACTTGAGAAGGTTAGTTAGCTAGCTTATCATTCTCACTTCTCCCCTATTTAGGGTTCGTCTTTTTTCATCCCATGTTCCAAATGTTGGTGACACCGTTCGATTGGATCTTATGCGTCGCCACAAGAGGTCTATTTTCCCGATGGTTGCGAGCGAAGTGCAAGGGAGGTTGGAAGGCAGTGGTCGCGAGGCCAACCCTGCCTCGAGATTTTTGTCCCGCTTGGTAGTGGCCAAACAGGAGGATATAGTTGGCCTTGTAGACACAGATATAGCCACAATGAAGGCCTTTTTAGCGGAAGATCAACTGGAGGAGGCAGACGAAGAAAGGTTCCTCATCGCAAAGAGGATCTTGCGCAAACTTGTGGCAGAGAAGAGGAGCATGGAAGAAGCTACGGTCTTCACCAGGGATGAGGTTTCTTTCGTCTCAAACGACACTACAGCTGAGGACTACTTCTTTTACTACCAAGGTTAGATGGATTTTGATTTGTTTAATCTCCAATAACTGCAGAAGTCAGCGGCCATGACATCTACCTTCATAGCATAAACTGGCGATGTCTAGTGGAGGACTTTGGTGTCTCCAACTTACCCCAAGAAATTAAGGGAAAGGTTGTTGAAGTTGAGACTTACACCATGAGTTCGGTAGGTGTTGTGTCAGCAGCAACCTGTATTAGTTTACTGAGACACTCATGTAAAAATTTTCTTCACTTCCATTAGGCATTGCGCAGTCGGTATCGTCATCTGAGACATCTGCCTCTGGGACGTACATTTCATCTGATAGAAATTCAATTTGAAAATCCGATTATTAGTGCAGAGACCCTTCTTTTGGTGTCTGATGTGCTTACCATGCGACAGCATCGACGTGAACAAAAGGAAGCTCGTGAAAGGAGTCTTACGCGTGCCAAAGAAAAGGCTGAGGATCTGCTTCTGTCATTGCGTAAGTGCAAGCTCGTATTGTTCCAGAGTCTGACTGTTGTTTCCCAATTTGTGATTTTGTGTGTGCAAAGAATTGTCGGCTGGCTTTAATGACCAAAAAGTAGAGCGATGGGCGCTTTTTACCCGTAGTTGACGAATTCGCTAGTTATTATGTGGTACGATAGTAATCGCTTCTTTATGTGATGCTTGTTCGAGGTCATGTACTGACAACTCGTCAGTTTTCACATTTTGGTCATGTATGTAAACTTCACTACATGATGTGTCTGTTAGGTGGAAAGAGGAAGACGTGACGTTTTTGTTGCATTCTATTCATTCCACTCTTCTCATTTGCGTTAGGTGTGATTCAGGTTGGATTCTTGGTGTGGCATGCAATCTGAGAAATTTGTTCGTGACTGCCCTCATCTTAAATGGGTGACTAGAGTATGACGCGATATGGCGTTTGCGATGTGGGTAATTGAGGTGAGATGAAACATTGTAGCTGCTGAATCTCGAACATTGGTCCGAACTTCGTGGACGCAGGTGGTTCCCACTGACGAGGACTTTGTTCCTCTGGACGTCGCTATGGCAGAGGTGTTGTCGTCGGGACGATGCCACTCAAGCCCTGTTCTGCAATCACTAATGCCATCGTTCAGCTCTTCTGCTAGTGTGAGTTACTGAATTAGGTGATATTGGGTGCTATTTGCACCTGTTCATTGCAGTTATTCGTGGAATAAGGATGGAGGAATGTGACTCTCCTTGTAATCGAGTTGTTAATTGCTTCAAATACTAAGTGTAAAGTAGATGTTTTTTGTTGCATCACCGGTTTCTTACCCGGTCATCTTGTAGTCAAGCTAAAAGCCAGTTGTATGCTGCCCTTGGGATTGCTGTAAATTGCTGCAAGTGTCTTTGAACTACGTAGTGCCATTGGACCCGCATAAGAAGGTGACTAAGGAGAACGGTGATGAGGATGCGCTATCAGTAGGTGTGGCTTGTGCTCTTTGTGTGAATGAAAGGATGAGACTTGTAAATTGGTTATTGAGTGGTTGTACGTGGGTGTATGTAGTCTTCTATTTTGCCTTACATTGCTTGACTTAGCTATTGTCCACGGCTGCGGCGACTAATGGTGTCGATATCGACAGAACGGAGTCTCCTGAAAGGGTGAATGAGACCTCTTCTTGGCTCGATGTAGCCTCCAGAGGTCAGACGATGGGGACCTGTAGCACCATTGCTGCCGATACTGCCACTGCTTCCGGTGTCCCTGCCGCCACCACCTCCTGCTCCATGTGGTTCCCATCACAAATGGCATCATGTACGCTTGACCCCTCCACGTTCGCCCACCACTTGTCCGTTGCCATCCCCGAAAACGCACAAGAAGCAGTGTCCGCACCGAAGTCGAGACGCAGGAGACGCCGTGCAAAACAAAGCCGAGTAGTTGACTGACATAGGATTTTCAGGGGATGGCTGCGTCGTTGAGACGTGTTGGATGTTAGGATTTTCACTGCTCAGCACCGCTCGCCATTGTCTTTACTCGACTGTACGGTTGCCAGCTTGTCTGCTTATGTGGCAGGCTGTCTGTGTATTTGTCTTTCTAGGCATCTGCACTCTCCACTCCTTTTGAGATAAGCGTAACTATGAATCCCATGGGTTAACTGCATTTCCAATGCCCAATATTTTGGTATTCGACCTACCTCTTGGCCTGCCTCATCTCCTATTCTACCTTGAGGCAGTTGATCTGAAAACATCCACGTCTTTCTCGAAACGACCTTATCCTGATCTATCAAAAATGACATCTAGTTCTTTGGATATGCGCTTCAGAGGGATGTATAATTTGGATTTAATTCCAAGTTCCTCCTTCCTTGCCTTCTTGAAGACACCGTTTGGATTGAAAGTACCCTCTTCCCCTGAGCTTGGAGGTATCGGACAATGTCATTGCCATTGCCACGTAGGAAGCAGCTTGGCGGTTGTTTTAGGTTCATTGTTTCTCTGAAATAAGGTGAGTGTTATGTCGGTGTCATAACTGTGGATGATGTCTGCTTCCACCTCACTGCTCACCCTCATTGTCTACGATGGTGGGAGTGAGGTGTGTGATTGTGGTGAGACATTGCCATGGAGTTCACGCATGAAGGAAGTGAAGACTTGCCGAGCTATGTGAGGTGTAAGCGCAGTGAACTATGAAGTTGAAGTGGATTGTTCCATTGTGTATGTTAGATGTTTACCTGCGGACGCAGGTGGGGTTGTTGCCTGCTGCATCGTTCGTATGCAGATGTGAATTCCAAAGTTCGTGGAATGGATGAAAGAACGCGTGAACCTCGTTGCAAGGCACAAACGTGTACCTTTGTGGACATTTCGAGCTGGAAGCGAGGAGAGGTAATATCAATGGTTTAACCGTGAGTGTTGTACCACCCGCGAATTATGCAATAAAAGTCGCGTCAGTTGGGGATGGGCAGATGGTACGATGAGGAGGAGGAGGGACAGAATTGAAATCATGGTTTGGCTCTGGGTTTTGTTGGTGTGACTTACGATCTCTTGGGTGAGGATTGGCTTAAACAACAGAAGTCATCATGATATATCGGTAGCTCGTGTTGTGAAGGTAGATGCAGCGATTAGTGGCTTCTGTGGGGAATGCGCTTGAAGTGAGTGACAAAGTTGGCAATCTTTGCTGGATTGTCTTTTTGGACGAGCAAAGTCTGTGAGTCAGTGGGAATTGTGGCACCTGCCACAATTTCATTTCTCTTCCCTCAGTTTACGTAGCATTTCCTCTGCAGAACGAGAGCGTTGATCACCTCATCATCAGATTAACCTTCCACCGGAAGGGCCTCAATCGTGACTATGGCCACTTCGTATGATCATTACCAAGGCGAATGGCATTGTTTGACGCAATGCGAATTGGGGTGACGGTGTGTCTGGTTGATTGGGTGAGCAGCCAACTCTGCTCAGTACGAATTAATTGGACATCGAAAGCAGCGACTTCGACTGACGAAGCGAGGAAGGCATTAGCGTTGTGAAGGAAGCGCTTGTAGTGAACTGTGGGAGGATGGTGTATCAGTAGCATGTGATGTGATGTGGCCATGCAGCAAGTTAGGTGCAGTCGAAGAGGATGCTGCAGTGAGTGAATGCATCCATCACGGGGTGAATTGCAGGTGGTCAATACAAGTTGGAAGCACCTGACACTCGTGTTGCTTCGGTGGAGAGAAGGTCGTAGCATGTGAGAGTTGGACCATAGATTCGGTGGGTGGTGAGGGATGTTGCCAACTAGTTTCGGCAGTCCTCTGGATGAGTCATCTGAAGGTCTCCATCTTGTCTGCCAGTACGGTGATCCAGTTTGTATCGACGTGAGACACGTGCCCCGTGGCGACAACACTCGTGGTTTGAGATGCCTGACGCGCGCCTGCCTCGGTGGTTGGCCACACTATTCGTGCAGTGGCAGTGATGGGAGCAGAAGTAATGCCAAGGTGTTGTTACTGTAATCCAATTGCGCTGAGACCTTCATGGAGCCGTCATTGATGCCTGCATCTTCCACTGTCTTAGTGGGGACAATGCGTGTACTCTTCTTCATGACTGCGCTGTGCAGGCTTTGCTGTCTATAGGGGCTTTGGTTTCTGACCCAAACTGAGCTCATCAACGCGCAATCAGGCTGAGATTGCATAATTAAGTGCAATTCACGTGCTTTGCTTTTTTCATGCAGTCAGATGTGTGGAACAGCAGACGTCACATGACGTGATGATGATGGTCATTCACGAGATGATTCATTCCAGCCACCTTCTGTCACCACTTGTAATTGCTGTTGCTGTTCACAAATCCGTCCTTTTACTCGAATCGATCCAATCTCGCTTTCGCAGTATAGTCTGCGTAACTGCACTGACGAGATGTTGTGAGAGGAGGAGTGCTGCGTGTGTCCCCATCTTTGTCAGATAGCTGCCTCACACACACAAGCTGGTGCTGCCGAGTAATGCATCACCAAGTCCACTAGTGTGCGTGATTCGCTTGCCCTTCTTCTCACCTAATCAGCAATCGCTTTCTTCAAGCTGGACGTCATTTGTATTTCTCGCATTTCTCGCACAGGCGTGACGCCCCACCTATGAGTTAGCCTTGTGCCTTCTGAGGAATCCAAGTGGTCAGTGGGTGGGCAAGTGGGAATGTGTTGCCATTCACAACCAACTCCACCATCCCTGTTGTGGGCGCAAGCGACTGGATGCATCTCATTCTCTACTAGGCCAGTGGTCAAAGCTCATGTCGCCTTGGAAATGCTGGGAGCACCTTCCCTCGATACTGGTGATGTCGTTTGCGTTGGTGAACACCGTGAAAGTTATAGCGATTAGATCGTGGTTGTAACCTCATTGTTTGAGTTGCAGGGACCAATGCCACCAAATGCACTCATTCGAGATGGGAGTGTGCTCGTAGTTGATGCGTGCTCATCCTGGCGGTTTGTTGTGCCTTTCACTTGGTCTCGCCACCCTTCTCGTACCAACACTCGGATAATTTACTTACCATAGGTTGTGCACTTGAACCATCGTCCGTGTCTCTCAAATTGCAGCCTCGATGACAGTCTCTGGTGGCTACCAACAACCACAATTCATCCAGAACCACTCGCGAGGTGAATTGGTGAGCAGTCTGGATGCCTAGCGTGCCCTCACCTTCCTTGCACAATCACATCGTTATCGTTACCAGTTATACAGACTCCATTTTCCAAAGCACTATGTCATGGCTACTCCCGCGGGGTAGACTACCTCTTCCTTCCAGTTGCACGGTCCTCTCTTCTACATGGAAAGACGAGCTGGATGCAGCGGGACAGACTGGAAGTGAGCACCACTCGAGGTTGCATTTGTTTAAAACGGTCGGTGGTAAAGCAGTTGGTGTGATCTGCCAATGCTTCAGTTTGACGAGGAAGAAGTAAGATGCGATGTGGAGAAGGGGGAGGGAAGACGAGGGAACACTCCGTAATGTTGAATAATTAATTAATTAATTAATTCATTCATTCATTGAGCATTTAACTAGGATTCGGGAATGATGCCCATTTGAGTGTCGCGTTTTGAATGCGGAACTGAGTGTTTGCTGCAACAGATGGAAATGGAGCACGCTGTGATCTGTTCCCTCTACGAGGGAGGGAATAAGAAGGTGGTTTGAATGAGGTTTGGGCAACATCTAAGTGCGGAGCATGCTGTTTTATTGTGGCATTATTGTCGCAGTCCATTATTTCTTCGACTTCTCAATTCCTTTAACTTTTATCCCTTCACAATGCAAATTTCTATTTATTTGTCACTTTTGAACTGTTATATGTTAATTTATTTTTTTTATCACGTTGCATTTTGCACAGGGTCTTTATTGGCGTCGTGGCATCGTTTGTGCTGCTATTTCCCTCCTCTTGCACTTTTTATGGCTGCCTGTTTGGAGTGTGTTTTGTATGTGATTTGTTATGGTTTAAATGGGAAGCTTTTCGTGGTTTCGCCGGTCCCTCTGTTCTGCTGCGTCGTGCAGTTACGAAAATAGCAAACACACCACATTTTGACTG